AATTGACATTTTTGGGGGGATTATACTGAATCTTCAGGTTGTTTTGGGTAGTATAGACACTTTAATCATATTGATTCTTCTAATTCATGAAAATAAAATAGCTTTCTACTTTTTGGTGAGCTCTTCAATTTTTCTCATTAGTATTTTATAATTTTTATTGTGGAGATCTTTCATCACTTCGGTTAACTTATTCTTAAGTGCTTTTTCATAGCTATTGTAATTGGATTGCTTTTTTTATTTCTATTTCAGATAAACCACTATTGTCATATAGCACTGCTAGTGATTTTTGTATGTTCATTTCTTTTATCTTACAACACTGCCAAATCTGTTTATTAGTATTAATACTTTTTCATGGAGTTTTGTGAGTTTTCCATATGGAAGATCATGTCATCTACAACAGTAACAATTTAAAGTATTTTATTTATTTATTTGTTCTAATTAGTTATTCATGAGAGCAGAATGCGTTTTGATTCATTGTATACAAAGGGAGTACAGCATTTCATTTCTCTAGTAGTATACAATGTAGAGTTATAATTTGAATTCTTTACCAATTTGTATAGCATTATGTTTTTTCTCTTGCCTGATTACTCTAGCAGCTCCAACCTATGTTGAATAAAAGTGGTAAAAGTAGGCATCCTTGTCTTGTTCCAGATGTTAGAACACTTTCAGCTTTTCTGTATTCACTGTAATGTTAGCTGTTGTGGCCTTTATTGTATTGAGGTATTCTTTCTGTATGTAACTGTTCAGTGTTTTTATCATGAAGGGATGTTGAATTTTATCAAATGCTTGTTTTTGCATGTTTTGACATAATTTTATGGTTTTCGTTCTTTATTCCATTGATTGATATATCCCATTTACTGATTTGCTTATATTGAATCATCCTTGCATTCCTGGCATAAATCCCACTTGATCATTGTGAATAATCTTCTTAAAGTGCTATTGAATTTGGTTTGCTAATATTTAGCTGGGAATTTTTGTATCTGCGTTAATAAAGGTATTTACCTATCGGGTTTTGTTTGCTTGTTTGATTTTTACTGGGGTTGTGTTCTTATCTGGTTTTGGAATCAGGATAATGCTGTTCTTGTAGAGTGTGTTGGAAAGATTTCCTTCCTCTTCTATTTCCTGGAATAACTTAAGGGGAACTGTTGTTAATGCTTCCTTAGATGTTTTGTAGAACTTAGCAGTGAAGTCATCTGGTCCTGGGTTTTTGTTCAGTAGAAAAGTTTTGTTGTTGTTATTGTTTGCAGTGCCATTCAAGGCTATACACATGAGCTACACTCCAAACCCAGATTCAATATCGTTCTCACTACTTGTTATTGGTCTTTTCAGGTTTTTCATTTCTTCATAATTCAATTTGGTACAGTATATGTATCTAAGAGTATGCCCATTTCTTCTAGTTTATCAAGTTTTTTTGGCATATAGTTGTTTGTAATCATGTCTAATCATCCTTCATATTTCTGTGATGTTGGTTATAGTGACTTGCTGATTTTCTGGTTTTTTTATATTTTATTTTTTTATATTCTGATTTTTTAGAGAATTTTTATATTGATGTTGACAACTAAATTTAGTTTATGGTTTTCTTTTCTCATAGTGTCTTTGTTCAATGTTGGCAGCAATGTAAGACAACCCACGGATGAGTTACATAGCTTTTATTTTCTTTCTAGAATCTAGAGTGGTTTTTATAACAGATAATCCTACCTGTTCTTTTAAGATTTGGACATGATTGCCTAGAAAACCATTTAGGCTTGTTGAATTTAATTTTAAGAATATTTTTTTGTCTACTGATTCAATAAATTTAATGGTTATTGGAGTATTCAGATCTTTCTTTTTTTCTTTTGACTTAATTTATAAAGTATCTGTTTCCACACAGAACCTGTTTCATAGAAAATCTGTTTGTTTTCAAAATTATCTGCATAAAGAAACATACAGAATCTTTTAGGGGGAACTAGAAATATTCTGTGTCTTATTTCTGAAGGTTGATTGACAGATATATACATTTATTAAATTTATCAATTGTTTTATAAAGAAATTTTATATTAAAATTATATTTCATTATGTTTATAAACATCTGCAGAAAACTATACATATTAATTTTTATTTTTCTCAAAATACTCTTCTGTGTCTTTGTTAGGGGAGGCTATCTCTCTTTTTTTCTTCACAAATCTTGTTAAAAGGCTTGTCCATTTTATTATCTTCTAAATAATTAGCTCTCAGAGAATTACCCTTTGCTTTTTTGATCCTTCTGCCACAAGTATTTCTTGTAGTATTTCTGTCACCAACACCACCATTTTACGTGGGTAAATGGGAACACACAAGAGGTTATTTGACTACAGAAGGTTACAACATTTGGAGCAGAGGCCAGAAATGAATGGTTTTTCCTGTTTCAGGGAGTCCGGTGCACCTCGTATGTCAGGCCTCGTCACTATTGGAAGCTTTCTTCTGTGCCAGTTGATTAGTTGAAATATCATTCAGTGTCTTTGAGAACTCCTGTCCAAGTATTTGAGGAGGACTTAACTGGCAATGTGGGTGTCCATTACCCTTTAGGACCTGGACCCTGTCATTTTGTAGTCAGAGCCATAGTGCTGGTTCCTGAGACATGACCTTTCCTTAACTGACAAACTGATGAAAATTGGCAGCAATATCTGAAAACAGAATGGCATCATTTACCTGCTAAATCTTTAGTACATTTTACTGTCTTGGATTCATATGCTAGTTTTCCCAACTACATACATTTGATTATTTAACACGATTTATACTTTTTCTCTTGTTAAATAAAACAAAACATAACTACTCTTGGATTTGAGAGAGCTAATTATACTTAATTGTTAAATGTAAAAAGCTTGACTACTTTTTATTTTTTTCTAATAATTGAATGTATTTCATAAAAAAAGTATTATAATTATGAGATTGACCAATGATGCAGTGCTTATATCTTAATATCAAATATGATCTGAGGAAATAATATTTCTATGAAAAGTATATTCAGGAATGCCCATTATTAGTTGTCTTGGTGTTTATTCAGGATAATCAGGTACATGCAACAAGTGGATCAAAAATGTTGACAAACATCATCCCCTCTGCATGTAGGATAATTAGGTATTTTTGAAAACTTTAATGGAAAATGTATGTTGTGGGTAGAACTTGGTTTCTAACAAAGTCTTACTAAGGTGTCTAATGGGAAATCTGTTGTGTTTGTATGGAATAGTGCTAGACATCAGCAACAAATTTATTTAACTGGAGTTTGGCTTAAACCACTTGGAATTGAAAAAAAAAATAGGGTGGCATAAACTAGAATAATCCTTACCCTGCTACTTGTGCATCTTTTAAAAAATGTATTTGGAGTATCTATTTTGTCATTGTTTTGTTGTAACAGTTGGAAACTAAAGACAAAAAATCATTTTGTGGTTTGCTAAGCCTGACATAACAAAGTACCACAGATTTAGTGGTTTAAAAAGCAGAAATATATTTTCTCACAGTTCTAGAGGCCAGAAGTCTGAGATAAAAGTGTCAACAGGGTTGAATCTTAAAAGACCCTCCTTTTTGGCTTATAGATGGCATCTTTTCCTTCAATCTAAAAATGGTTTATTAGTCAAGATTCTCCAGAATCAACAGAATGTGTGCATGTGGTGTTGGTCATGGGGGTATACATATATATGAGGAGGGAAGGAGAGAATGACAGGCAGACTTATTTTAATGATTGGTTCACAGGATTACAGAGGCTCTTAAAGTCCAAAATCTGTAGGATAGAAACTCCAGGAAGAATTGTAGCTGAGTCCAAAGGAAGGCTGCTGGTGGACTTTCTCCTTTGATAGAAGGAGGTGAGCCTTTGTTCAGGCCTTCAGCTGACTGCAGGAGGCTTACTCACATTGTGAGGATGATCTACTTTACCCAGAGTTTACCGATTTTTAAAAAAATTTTTTTAGTTGTCAACAGGCCTTTATTTTTTATTTATTTATATGTGGTACTGAGAATTGAACCCAGTGTCTCACACATGCTAGGCAAGCGCTGTGCCACTGAGCCACAACCCCAGCCCAAGTCTACTGATTTAAATGTTGATTTTATCCAAAAACATCTCCAGGAAAACATCCAGAATAATATTTGACCAATTATCTGGGCATCAAAGCCTATGTAATTTGCTACATTAAATTAATTTTCACCTATCTGTACCTTTCCATGTCCAAATTCCCCCTTCTTATAAGAACACTAGTCATTGTGGGTTAGAACACTCCCTAATTGCCTCATTTTAATTTCAGATCATATTTCTAAATATAGTCACATTTTGAAGTACTGGGAATTAGAACTTCAACAAATGAATTTGAGGGGACAATTCTATCCATTATGACCACTAATTTAAAAGTAAGCATAAATAGAAGGCAATTTAAAGGAAAAAATAATCTTCCTATTATTGGATGTTAAATATATCTTTATGAATCCTCAGATAAACCAGTTAACTAGAATGGAAGCAAATTTTTTTAAAACATCTATTCACATTTCTATAAACTTGAAGGCAATTTTATTTTTCTTTGCAAAGGATATCTACATTATCCTACTAATTAGAGATTAGGTTTAAAAAAAGAGCATTTTTTTTTTATTCTGGTTATTTCTAGATTTTTACCAGCTTTCAGTTTGTACTTTTTATTTCAAATTAGAATGCACTATATACAATGTTTTTATCTTGAGTTATGAACTAATTTGAAGTCACTGCTAAAAACAGATTTTCTGCATTTTTTTTACAATGTAAGAAATAAACAATGGAAAATTCCCAGTGAAAATGAAGGGTAAAATTAACAAGAGAACAGACAATGAGGGCAAATTAGAAACTACATCATCATGGTTCTCTCCTATTATAAGTGAAATCTTGTAACTTTATCACTTGTCTTTTTTTTTTTTTTAATCAGTATCTTAGTCTTACATCTCCAAAACCCATTTAACAAAAGGGTCAAATGTCTCTGTATCCCTGATGCTGAATAAAACCCTTCTGCTTTATTCTTGTTTTGCAGATAACAAAGAGCTATTCCTTTCCAAGGCAATTCACAAGTCTTTCATAGAGGTTAATGAAGAAGGCTCAGAAGCTGCCGCTGCCTCAGGTACAAAGCTGTTTTCCAAAATCTTCTTGCCTTCCCTAGACTCATATATTTAAAATAATCTTGGATGGGGGTGGGGATCATTTTCAGAATCTAGCCAAAAAAACTGATTTTTGTCCCAAGTTAGGAGTCAAGCAAATGATGAACCAGCCAGAATTTTCTAAATAGGATGTAAAGCAAGTTCTCAGTCCACTGGCCCTTTGCACTATAAATCCATCTTTTTTTTTTTTCCTAATGGAACTCAGGACACCTGGCAGCTCTGGTAGAATGATTTTCCTACAGTTCTGCCTTTTAAAATGTTTTAAATATTTTCCTGATGCCTATTTAAACATTTTTCTTCCTAATTACTTTTGAAACTTCACTATTAATTTTGTCAGTGAGAAGTTTGGATTTTTTAGAAGCACATTCATTTGCAAGAGTGTACTATAGGTATAATAAATAATTTTAAGTGCTATTAACTAATAATACTAATAACACAATAGTTTCCAATAAATAATTTTTTAATCAACATACATGACATCCAAATTACAATGGTAAATGTCATTGATTATTTTGATGGTTCTAACTTCCCTAGTTAACTGAGAACTTTTCACTCCTGGTTGTATGTTTGTTTTGCAGCCCATTATTTCTAACTTCACCAGTCATAACAGTGTTTTTAAGAAGATATAGAAACCCTAGTCTTGGACATCAGAAATCTTGCATAATCTAATCTGGACTTTCTTTTTTTTCTGCTAACTAACCACACTGCAGCAACCATCCTAGAAGGAAGGGGAATTCAGCATCCCACCTTAGGAAGCACCATTGCTTGTTTTGCTGCTGCACTTTCTCCTTAATCTCTGACAGCCCTCCCTCCTACTAGGACTCAAGAGATTTGCTCTGTCAATAGATCCAATTCAAACAGAAGAAAGTCACTGGAAAACATAAACCGTCTTTGTTTTTTGTCACGAGGATTTTTCTTTCTTCCCCTCCTTCCCTAACTGAAAGGATGTTTTGATAAAAGCACAAATATTTATCTTAGGCTGAGAATAGAACTTTTGTAACAGGCAGAATAACTAGTCCTATTATTTTTGATGGGGTGGAAGGAGGGAATCGTGTGATTTGTTTTGTTTTAATCAAGTAGAAATGTTAATGCTTTTATAATTTTTCTCTCTTAAAGTCTTTAAAATCTTGTTTTCTGTAAATTGTTGCCTTTGCATTAGATGGATAGACATAGATGGTTTTGAGAAATTATTCATTAATCTCTGCACATCTATGGACATGTAATTAATTTCTTTCTGCGATGTAGGAATGATTGCAATTAGTAGGATGGCGGTGCTGTATCCTCAAGTTATTGTGGACCATCCATTTTTATTTCTTATCAGGAACAGGAGAAATGGTGAGTCTGTTATGAGAAGACAACTTTATCCAATAGGGCACAAAGAAACTTTCTTTTTTAAATGGAAGACTGCCTCTCCCATCCACAGTAGAATTTATTAGATAATGTCTAATGGTCAAATGATTTTTCACAAAGTGAAAATAATTTGTATTTATATTTCTTAAAACATTGATAATTGTAAGCAAGAAGGAAAATAGCACATTCTTCTATTCACTATTTTTTGTGTTGTTTTTCACTTCCAAATGAACACAGGTACAATCTTATTCATGGGACGAGTCATGCATCCTGAAACAATGAACCCAAGTGCACACGATTTTGAGGAACTTTAAATGACTTCATTTGAGTAACAAGGAAAACTGCAACAAAGCACATTATGTTTGCAACTTATCTATATTTAGGATTTGTGTTTTACAGTGTATCTTAAGATAATGTTAAAAATAGCTCCAGATAGAAACAGTATATGTGAATTACAGGTCAACCTGTCAAGGATATTATTAGTATTAAGGTAGTGGTCCTGTTATGTCATTGTGTTTGCTATGCTGTTGTTTAAAATAAAAGTACATATTGAACATGTAAACAGCTGTTTTTCATTTTAAAAGTAGCAGTAGTAGTATACATATACCTGTCAGTTAAATTTGGAAATAATGATATTTCAGTAGAAATTGTAGTATACAGATACCAATATGAGAATTTGGAAATAGTTATGTTTTGGGGCTTCTTAAGTCTTTCATAATCATGCAGAATCAAAGCACCAAGGTAAATTAGCATTGCAGTATAGAGGGCAGGACAAGGAAATGCAAGCTGAATATCTGTAAGGCTCCATAACAAAACCTGTTAGAAAAACATAGGACTATGCAAACCCTATAGACATTACTGGTTTGTGTATTTACAATGGTATGATGCTTTTTATCATTATTTTAGAGTGTACCCCTTCCATTTATTAAAAATAAAAAGGTTTACTGTAAAACAATATGTCATATGATGCCAGCAGTAATCTCATACATTTTGTGCTTACCCAATCTCTTAACTGCATCAAGAGGCTACATCAAGTGATTGACTGCACCATCTAGATTTGTGTAAGTACACTTTCTGATGTTCACACAAAGATGAAGTACCTCAGGGCTCAGTTCTCAGAACATACCCCTGATGTTAAGTGACATGACTACACTAGTGATTTAGATATGGTTAACTTATAGAAAATTAACTCAGTCCGTGAAGTATATTAAATCAGCACTTCTCAAACATCAGTGTGTAATGTAGTCAACTGGGGATCTTCCTACAAATGCAGATTCTCATTCAGTTATTGTGGGGTGGGGACTGATTGCATACTTCTAACAGATTCCCAAGTGAAGACTTTACTGTTTTTCACTTCCATAACAAAACTCTACTTAACATAAGGTTTCCATATTTAATATTTTCATACATGGAAACAGAAAGATTACAATTTCATAGAGCTTAGAAGTATTCAGGGAGGGGTGGAGTGGTAATCTGCATTAATAATGTAATACGTTTGTCCAAGGAAAGGAAAAATGGTTTTTACTCTAAAGTGTCTTTTCTATTACATGCTATGAACAAAAGCAAAATTCCTCTGCATATTAGAACACTTGAAATATGTTCTTTAAAAATATGGAGACATTTATAGGTAATACCCATGAAAGAATTTATGAATACCCAAGGATATAACACTTAACACTGAATCTTTTACAGCTTATATTTTGAGAGGACTTATAGTATATTCATAAATCTTCAGTTACTGTAGAATAGTTGCTCTTGTTTTCATTTATAATTTATACAGCCTGGCCTTACTGATGTTGATTCAGTATTGGAATTCTGAGTTTGTAATATTCTTCACTACCATATTGCTACTTGTTAATCATTGTGTACCTTACTGTATCTGTTCATCAGTCAACTAAATGCATTACCTATAAAGGAAGAATAAACATCATTAGACACTGTGTATTTCATAAAGCCCAAATGCGGTTTTTTGTTAGCTGGTATAAGATTAAGTTCTCCAATTCAGAATGTTTGTTTTTAAATATTTTAATACAATTTAGGTGTCATTTAAATGAAAATAGATTCTCCCTTGTTTTGAGCTTGCTTATGGAATGCAATAATATCTGACAGTACAACGTTTTCCTTTGTCTATTTTTTTTTAAATAATTTGAACATTGTCCTTTCCCTGGAAAAAGTAGCACTGTATAGTTCCATTTCCTTTAAAAGAAATAAATTACTACATAAACATACACACAGAACATGCACCAAAGCTTTTTGGTCTTTGAACCAATTTTTTGGAGGAAATCAACAATAATTATGTTTTTTACTTTTATTTAAAACCCTGATTTTACTTTTTTTTTAAATCTATGCAATAGTGTGGACTGAATAATTATATAGAGTGTAATCTATAAATCTTTATACCACCACCATAAACAAATAATGGTTAGCGTCACTTTTATAGAAATATTTATTTAAGCATAAGAAAAACAAAGTTGCTTCATAAAAATAAAGAAAATATGGTAAAGAACATATTTCACTCTCATTAAATATGTATATTTTACATAATTCACTGATTTACTATATAATCAACTTCTTAAATGTGTAATGATATCTATTTTTGTTAATTGAGTAACTTTTTTCTTTTTTTTTAAGATAGAATAGCCTGGGGTATTTTGCTTATTGGCCAAACGTAATTTGAAATGTATCTTGGTGAAATGTGGGTCTTTATTGTAATCTTGAGAAAATAAGATGGATGACTATTTGAAATACAGAAGATAGTTGATGAAAAATCTGTAACTTTGCCATCCACACTCTCACAGCCTCCCTACATCACTGTCCATTATGGGGGGGGGATCTGTTTAAAGACAGGGCACATGGTTCTTCAGTTGAATGACTTCATTTTAAGACCACTGAAAGCATGGAATCAATAAAAAATATTCCAACAAGGTTCCAATGTTGCTGTTTCCTTCCAGAAAGTCTAGACTGCCTATTAGTATTTTAATACTTAAAAAAATTTCACTGGATTAAATTAAAAGCAAAATTTTGAATTTTGACCAAAGCCCATCATTAAAAAGAAATCCTAGACCCAGATGAGCAGAAACCTAAAATAGTTCTAATTCAGTCATTGTTCCATTGGAAATGGTGTAATAATAGGGGTAGAGGGAGTACTAAGTGTGATGTGGTATCAGGATGGAGAAAGCAAGGCAGACACAGAAGCAAGGGTAGTGTGGGCAAATCCAAAACCAGCATCCTACAGGTTCTCACCATTTGATATGTGGGCCCAGATGAGAAGGAGCCACTTCTCACCTACCTCCAAATGACATATCTTTAAGAGGATTTAGTTATTGTTCTGCCTAGAAACTGAACTAGAAAACCCTCTGTTGCATTCTTATCTGGTTATTCATTAGCATGTGTGTTTATGTCTGCCTTTTTCTTTCCTTTTTTTTTTAAATGCTTGTTCTATTTATTTTTTATTCATTCTTTTTAATTATACATGACAGTAGATTCTACTTGATATACTTAGATAAGCATGGAATATATGTTATTCTAGTTAGGATCAATGCTTATTTTAATAACTTAATGTCTGCACTGATAAATTTTCTCCTGTGTCAAGAAGTGAGGAAAGTCCTTCCACATCCATTTTTATTTACTAGGGAGCAATTTACTCTTCCTCATGATGCTTGATGGTATTTATTCCCAAGCTTAAAAAAAGCACTCTCCCTTTTTTTCTTGTAGTACTAGGAATTGAACCCAAGTTTGCAGCTGCAGCTGGCCTAGACTTTACCGTTTTCCTGCTGGGATTACAGACAAGCTCCTTACGTCCAGGCAAGGAAGAGGCAGCAGATTGATTTTTTTTTCAACCAGCCTTGCATTCCTTCATTTATGAATGTTCAACCAGGCTTGCATTCCCAGAGACACCACTTTTATGATGTTATTTTTTCTCTCTAGAGATAAAAATAATTTTCATATATCGGTGGATTTAGTGTTTGCTGAGAATTTATACATTTATGTTCAAGGTGGATATCGGTCCCTAGTTTTCTTCTATCTTCATTTGATTTTGGAATAGAGTGAAACTAGTCTCACAGAATGAGTTAGGAAGTGTTTCTTTCTCTTTTATGTTTTTAGATATAATATAGAATGAGTTATATTTCTTTCTTAAATGTTTGGCAGAATTTATCAGTGAACCTGGCTGGGCATGGACTTGTATTTTTAGAACATGTTTAATACTAATTCAATTTCTTTTAATAGTTATAAGTCTACTAAAATTTTATTTCTTCTTGAGTTTGAATAATTTGTGTTCTATCAGTAATTAATTCATTTCATCTAAAATTGTTTGATTTAGACACGTAGAATTGCTCTGAATATTTCCTCATATCCTCCAATGCCACCAAGATCATCAATGATGTCCCCTTTATTCAGTCCTGACCCAATGTTGTAATGTGTATCTACCTCTTTTCCTCCTTAGTCAGTCTGATTGGAGGTATATTGGTTTTATTGATCTTTATAACCATAAGTTTTAGATTTCATTACGTTCAACTCCATTCTGCATTCATCTTTTGTTTTTCTGAGTGTTTAGTTTGCTCTGGTTTTTCTGATACATTAAGATGGAAGTTTATATTAATAATTTGAGGCCTTTGTTTTTTTTAAATACAAGTTTGTAATCCTACAAAATTTCTCTCAAAGTACTCACCTACATATCTCAACCTTTGATGTGTTAGGTTTTCATTTTCTTTCATTTAGAAATATTTTCTAATTTATTTCAGAATTCCTTTTTGACTATGAATGTTTAAAGAAGTATATTGTTTAATTTTCAACTACCTGAGGATTTTCATCTATTTGATTTTTAGCTTAATTACATTTTAGTCAGAGAAAACAATTTGTATGGTATTAATTTATTAAATTAAATTTATTAAATTAGATTTATTAAATTAAATTTATTAAAACCCCAGACTATGTTGTATCTTTGTGAATATTTCATGCGTACTTGAAAAGAGTGTGTATTCTCCTGCTGTTGGGGGCGTGGGGGATGTTCTATAAACGATCATTAGTTCAAATTGGTTGATTATATCATTCTGCTATATCTTTGCTGATTTTCTATCTGCTTTATCAGTTACTGAGGAAGAAAGGAGTGTTAAGGGTCCAGCTGTAATTATATTATTTACTATTTTTCCTTTTAGTTCTATCTATTTTTGTATTGTGTAATTTGAAGCTATGATAGGTGTATATGCATTTAGAATTGTTAGGTCTTCTTGGAAAATTAACTCTTTTATTGTTATATTTTTGTCGTTCTTATTCCTGAAATATTTTCCTTACTTCAATTCTAGTTTGATATCAATATAGCATCTTCAGCTTTCCTTTGATTGGCATTTGCATGGTGTAACTTCTTCCATCCTTTTACTTTTAACCTATCCATGTTATTATATTTAAAGTTTCTTTAGATAACATTTAGTTTACTCTTGTTCTTTTTATCCGGTCCAAGGATCTTTATCTTTAATTGCTACATTTAGGTCATTTAATAGAATTACTGATATGGTTGGATTCAGGTCTACCATGTTATTACTCATTTTCTGTGTGACCAGTTTCTTTTTCATTCCTCTACTTTCTCGCTCCTGCCTTTTGGGGGAATATTTGGATTTTTTTCCTACTACTCTATTTCAATATACCTATTTTGACTTTTCACTATTTTTTTTTTCGATAGTTTTTAGTAGTTGCTCCAGGAATTACAATTTTCATTTTCATTTAATTCTAATTAAAATTTCCACTTAGAATTAATATTTTGATACTACATACAGAATGTAGAAACCTTAAAATAATGTTGATTCCCTCACATCCCCACTTGTGCTTTAGTTCTTGTCTGTATTACATGTATGTGAATTGGAGAAATCCTATCATCAGACAATAGTTATAATTCTTGCTTTCAATTGTCATACACATTTCAAAATACTTAAGAGGAGAGATAGTTTGTTACATTTACCCAAATGTTAACCCTTTGGGTTGTTTTTCCTTTCTTTGTGAAGTTTTCAGTTTCCATCTGGTATCATTTCCCTTTACCCTGAAGAACTGTCTTTACTGTCTGTCTTGACCCAGAACTATTACGGAAAATATCTTTTACTCTATTTTTCATCTGAAAACTCTATTTCACTTTTATTCATGAATGATATTTTCAGTGAACACAGAATTCTGAATTGACTGTTCTTTGTCCTCAGAAATTTAAAACTGTTGTTATATTGTCCTGTATCTTCCAGGGTTCCTGGTGAGAATTCAACAGTTATTTAAATTAGTGTTCTCTGTATATGAGGTGTCATTTGTGTCTAGTTGCTTTCAAGACTTTTTTTTTTTTTCTCTATCTTTGGTTTTCAATACTTTGATTGCCTTGTAGCTGGATGTGGTTTACTTTGAGTTTATCCTCAAAATTAAAGTTTCATAAATCTGTAAATTTGTGTCTGTCAAAAAGTTTAGGAAGTTTTTGCTACTCTTTTTTTTCCAAAACAGTTTCTGTCTTGATATCTATGTCCTCTCCTGTAGGACTGAAATGACATATAATCAGATCTTTTGGTATTGTCTTACAGGTCACTGAGGCTTGTTTATTTTTTAAAACATTTTTTTTTGTTTCTGTTGTTCAGATTCCTTAATTACTATTAATTTATGTTCATTCACTGATTTCTTTCCTGTTATCCCCTTTGTACAATTGAGCCCATCTAGTGAATTATTTCAGTAGTATTTTTGAGTGATAAAACTTTCACCTGATTCTTTTTTTTAAATATTTTTAGTTGTAGATGGACACATACCTTTATTTTGTTATTTAGTTGTTTTATGTGGTGCTGGGGATCAAACCCATTGTCTCATACATGCTAGGCAAATGCTCTACAACTAAGCCACAAACCCAGCCCTTTTTACTTGATTCTTTTAAAATAACTTTTTTTCCCCTCTGCTGAGTAGTTTCAGCTTCACTGTACTTTAATTTCAAAGTGTTTGCCCTTACTTCACTGAGCACAGTTATAACTATTTTAAAGAGTTTGATAAATTCTAATATTTTGATTATTTTGTGTTTTACTTCTATTAACTTTCTTTTTCCCTTGTGAGTTCTTAAGAGTTTTCTGAGTTTCTGTATGCTAAGTAATACTGGATTGTATTGTAGTTATGTTGAGTCTCCTATTTAAATTTATTGGAGAACGTTTATTTTTGTTGTTGTTTGCTTTAGTAGATTATTGACCCAGTTGGATTCAGGATGCTTATCCTGATTTGCTTTCCAATGGCAGTCCAGTTCTTAAAGATAAAAATAGCTTGTAAAAAAAAAAAGGGGGTCTGTCTTCTGAGGAGATTTCAACAGAAGAATTAGAGTATTTTTATTAATTGGTTCAAAGTAAAGAAAATAATTTAACATTAATAAGCTAAAAGCTAGAGGTAGATCAAGTTCATATTCACTTCTGGTTTTGGTGAGACAAAGATGTGTGAAGAGAATGCTAACTTAGAATAAAACTATACCAAATGAAACACAGACTATCCTTTGTCCAAATTCACACTATATTATACAGTAATTTTAGGTGCATTTTTCCTCTCTTTGAAATTTGCAGAATTTTGTGTTCCCTGCGGAAAAATAAAGTGGTTATTTGTGACACATAGCATTTCCGGAAGATGTTTCCTCTTCAGTCGTCACAGCTTCTAGTTGATACAGAATTTTTTTCTCCTTCTCAAATAAGAGACGATGTTTCATCTCTCTGCTCTTCTGATAGTTTTGTCCTAATTCCTGAATATATAAATCCAACATTTGTTCACACCATTGTTCTTTACTCTGTTATTCAAGGAAAGTTGCCCATGAGAGGACAATCATTTTCCATACAACCGAATGACCCTTTTTTCTGATATTTTTTGCCTAAATATTTATTACCAGCCAGGTGCCATAGTACATGCCTATAATCTCAGCTACTTGGGACGTGGAGGTAAAAG